ATCTACTGTAATTCTAAGAGGTGTGTACTGCATTAATCAAAGCAAAATATGCTTTATATTTTGTCATTATCAGCTTCAAAATCGTTTCAAATAATTATTTTATATAAGTATATATATAAAACTTTTTTAGTTAGATAACACTTTAATTTTTTATAATAAAAAAAATTCTCGACTTAAAGTGGATTAAATTTTATATCAGATCATCCTGAAAAATTTTCTATTTTGTCATAAAGTAATCCTCTTATAGCAAAAAATATCAATTATGATATTTTTTAAAATAAAAAAATAATAAAAATTGTGGTTTGGATTATTTTTAATCTCTTTTTTTATAAAAAAAATAAAAATAAAAATAAATTCTTTTAGCGTACAAAATATTACATATTAAAATAATAATATTACTCTGCAAACAATTAATAACTTTAATTAATAAATGTCTTTATACTTAATTATTTTTAAAACTAATTTTATTACTTAAAAATTTTTACATTTTAATTAATAGTTAAAATAAAAACTCGATATTTTAATTAAGCTTTTTTGTAAGATAATCTTATTAAAATTTATCTTATTATAATTAACTTTAGAAAATAAAAATGTTATACTGTATAATAAAGTGGACTCTTAATATAGTGACTCCTGATGATAGTAAAATTTCGATGTAGTGAATGAATTATATCATTCCTTTGAGTTTACTATATCAAGAGTCCACTGTATCTTCAATAGCTCAACGATTCCTCAAGATTTTTGGCTGCAGCACACATATCTCCTTTATCCTTTCTGTACATTATATAAACTGTATATATAATACACCTATATAATATAGTAAACTCTTCATATAGTGAACGATTTAGCTCATTCCTTTGAGAGTTTACTATATCGAAAGTTCATTGTATATAACATCATCAGCTTAAAGTCCTTTGGTGCAGCTCATGTATCTTGAATGACTTTTATCTTTTCTGCATACTGTATATATAAATATATAGAAATAATATATAATACAGTACGATAAATATTTGTCATTCCAAAAAGAATTCTAGATACATTAGAAATGGAAGTTAACCGGGAGTAAACACTAGATTTATTAGAAGAGACATAACACTACATTTGTTAGGCGAAATAAACCGCATCTGTTAGAATAATCCAGGAAACACTAGACAAGTTAGAACTGACAGACGAACACAGGTAAACACTTTGCACGTGCCGCAATACACAAGTTTCCTATAGAGAAAACGAATGTTTTTGGATTAAAACACCAGAACGTGACAATATTGGACTATTACTAGCGAGTTCGTAATTTGAATACACTCGGCGACGACACAATGGAGACATCTAGCGAATTATTAATTAGTTTACTAAGTATTAGACGGCGTTTAAAAGTAGTTCCGTTACGAAAGATTCAATAGACACGTCTCGCATTACGCAAACGAGGGGAAAACATCGCGTATTTTAAGTAAACAAGTGGACACGTGTCGTAACTCGGAAGCGCGATAAAAATCTACAACTGGAGAAATTCCCGTGTTTACGAGTCGTCTCGAAAAGGAAAGGTATTCGTTCCGAGTAGTTACTGCGAATCGCGAAGAGAGGTAAAAGTTACGCGGCGTGACGAAGAAGAGCGCGCCTGTCGCGTCCTCTCTCCTATAAAAAAAACCAATAGAACGCGTCGCGTCGTCGAGCATCTAGGAGCGACGCGACACTAAACTTCGCATTTGTTACGTTTTCGCCAGTCATTCGTGCGTGAAATTCGTTTTTTAAGTGATTCTGCGATACCAATAAAAATGACGTAATTAAACGGAGTAGAGTGTCAATGACGTGACTTGGCGAACCTCGACTGGAAATTGGATCGTAGCGCTCGGCGATAGGGACTTTGCTCGCCTACCTTCGGCTTCTACGCGTGCGCCGTGATTTGTAGGTGTCGAGCACACCTGAGAATAACCGGGATCCGTTTCCGAGAGTCCACTATTCTAGGAACATTCCGACGCGTGTAGAATGGTGAGCCATTTCAGGTGCGCGAGAATAGTCAAATGCCTCCTCCTTCCGACGCTCCTCTTCGTCGTGGTGTTGTGCTTCGTATCTTCCGTGCGTAACTCCGTTACTCCGCGTGACGAAGTCTCGGAAGCTCTCCCTCAGCATCTAACGCAAGGATACGTAGAAGAAAAATGGGATCGAGCGGGGCATCTACGCGAGAAACTTTTAGATCGGAGAGTGGATTCGAAATTCGTGGCGGTGCGCGATTACTTGAAGGCTTCCAGAACCTACTCCGGTAACTCCAGCGTTACGCTAACGACTCAGGGAACCTACGAATTTCTGCATCACGTGGAGGAGTTGTGTATCAGATGGAGGGCACCCGTTTCCGTCGCCGTTTACGCACCCGGCGGAGACTTCGTTCCCGCGGTGGAGAGGATGCTTTACCTACGTCACTGTCGCCACCCCTGCCTAAAAATTAACGTGACTTGGCACGTTATTTTCGACAAGCTTCACGCGTTGGCGGAAGATACGCTGCTGGAGGCTCGAGAGGGCTCCTCCGACTGCCAGAGGGTGCCAAACTCCACTTCCAGTTATCGCCAGGAACACGGATTGACCTATCCCATCAACGTGGCGCGTAACGTGGCCAGAAAGGCGGCCAGGACCCACTACGTGTTGGCATCCGACATAGAATTGTATCCGAGCCTCGACATCGTGCCGAAATTTCTGGACATGGTGAGCAAAGAAGAAGGCGCCGCTTTTCCACGGGTCTACGTCCTCCCGGTTTTCGAGGTGGAGAAAAACTGCCAAGTTCCGGGTACCAAGAAGCAGTTACTCCAGTTATTCTACAAAAAGAAGGCGGTGTTCTTTCACAGGTCGGTATGCGACCCGTGTCATCGGTTCCCCAACAGAAATCTGTGGCTGAAGATCTTCCCGCCCAACGACACCCTCAACGTGTTCTCCATCACCAAGCGCTACTACCCCTGGGAGCCCTTCTACATAGGAACTCGCAACGAGCCGATTTTCGACGAGAGGTTCACCTGGGAAGGGAAGATGAACAAAATGCCTCAGGTGAGTCGCTCCGCTCCCTTCGCAACGCCATCTCGTGGCACTTAAGCTCGTGCTCTTTGCAGGTTCTGGCGATGTGCTTCCTGGATTACGACTTCTACGTTCTAGACAACGCGTATTTGGTCCACTCCCCGGGGATAAAGAAAGTGAACGGTACGTCGGAACGTCGTCGTGCCAAATACGTGGCGGCCAACAGACGCGCCTACAACAGCCTTCGACGGGATCTGATAAAGCGGTACGGCCAAAAACGCAAATGCCGCTAACGCTCTTCGCAAAGCTGTAAATATGTAAATTAACTCGTATTTATGAAGGAATAAAGCCGATGTCACGTGACGGCGGCTGGTCATTTTCGGAATTAACGCGGCCCTTTCGTACACCCGGCAGTTAATAGAGTCATCGAGTCCGCAAGGATGTAAGATCGGAAAATCGTGACGAGGAAGAAAGTCCATTTTGTCAACGAGTAATACGTTCTTTCTCTCGAATTTGGCCAAATTTCGATTCTTTAGAAGATCAAACGCGTGGCCCAGGTTAGTAGACGTTACCGTATTTAGTAATTCGTACCAACGCGTTACGCTTCAGTAATTAATACGCCATCCCCGACGTCCAGATGGGAGGTGACGTCGGTAATTCGCCGGACACAGTCTCTAATGGCGGTCGAGGTGCATTTTTAGTTTAACGTAACTAAGTAACATTTGTACCCGAGTGTAGGCGCGATACTTCGTACTCGCAAAGGGGAAAGGTTAAACATTTTAGACGCGTTCGGAATGTTCTCGAGTTAAATTTCCCGCAGAATTTACTTTCGTAGTATTTAACGAAGTGGTGGCCCGCTTCGTAGTAACGCGTATCGGATGGCGTTACCTTCGTCGTAATTACGCATTTATTCTATTTTCTCGTTACTCGTCTAGATAACTCGACTCTTACGAATTAATAAATTTGTGCGAGGCGACACGCTCGAATGCGTCGCTCGGCGGAACGAGGACGCGATGCGGAGGATACGTAAAAACATTTGTAATCCCTCTTCCGTTATCGAATCTATATTCCGATATCGTACTACGGTAATCAGAACGACCGTCGTTACGTCACGCAAACGTTCCCGTACGTAAAAAAGAGGTACCGAAGATAGCGAAATTTCCATAACTCCGAGAAAGGGTCCGGCAATCGAATTTGGTGGTCGCGTCGGATTGGATAGCAGTTTTTACGGGGAGGTCGTCTTAACCGGCCCCAAAATTTTAAGACCCCGAGATAGGACCTACGAAATTATCAGAGGAGAAACGTGACGTAATTCGCTACTTCGCCTAACTTAATACACGTAACTACCGTAACGCGTAAATCTTGGAAAAACACCCGGTGTGAAGTTTACGTAACTAATAAAATAACGCGACAAAATCCTTTTTTTAATCCCGTGAAAAGGTCAAATTTCATTGTCGTTCGATGATATAAATATCCGTTCCAAATCCTAAATAAGTAACCTAAACTGATATTTAAATGACAGAATAATTATGGGATGTTAAATTAAACGGTTGCGTGTAATAAGTGTCCCTTTTTTTTACGACGCGTAGCGGGTGAATAATTTGTAGAGGCTGAAGTATAGAGGATAATTTGACACCTTATTCCATCTACGAACGAATGTTCCCGCGTAGCGATCAAAGACGAAAGAGACCGCCATCTTGGATCGTCGAGCGATGACGCCGGTATTGGATGTTAATACGATGGCGTCGTGTTAAATTGCCACTGTTTTGCCCTCCGCACGTTCGGTTTGAAGATCAAATTATGATGTTTCGCGGAGATAATCGGTAAGTGATCATCAATTCCTGTTTATGGGTCTGTATCCTTCGCCGTGTCGGATGGCCTAGTTGGCGGGGAGACTTCCACAATTAAGTCTTTTTCTTTCGTTCGTAGGTGCTGCCGACTAAAATCTGGAATCGGGTGTGTTCGTAAAAGCATTTATTTTCTTTGTTTTTCTTCCATTTTTGGTACGATCCTCTACTACTACCTGGTCGAACGTAGTGTAGATTACGGGAACTTGGATAATTCCGTGTATATATCTCTAATTTGGAAGTGGGATTCCTCCCAAAGTCCCGTAAACAAATTGGCGGAACCTTTACACACGCGAGAACACGCCAATTACTTAGTTGTGTACGATTACATAGCGGCAGATAAATTTTACCTGGGAAATTCTAGCGTAACCTTGACGACGCAAGGCACCTACGAATTTCTGCACCACGTCGAGCAGTTGTGCCTCCGTTGGAAGGCGCCCGCTTCGATAGCCGTTTACGCACCCGGTCGGGATTTCTATCCGGCGGTACGGAGAATTCTATATCTACGTCGGTGTCGACACCCCTGCTTGAAGGCCAACGTCACTTGGCACCTTATCGTCGATAAGGCGCACGCGCCTACCCGAGAGGATACGCTAAAAGCGCGAGAGATGCCGGTGAATTGCCAAAACGACACCTTTAACTTTATCAATTTTCGAGAAACGCACAAATTGTCTTACCCCATCAACTTGGCTCGTAACGTAGCCCGAAAGATGGCTCGGACCCACTACGTTTTGGCCTCGGACATCGAATTGTACCCGTCTCTGGACTTGGTTCCGCGGTTTCTGGACATGGTCCTCGAACAAAATGTCTCTTCGCCACGTGTCTACGTTTTACCAGTCTTCGAGGTGGAGGAGAACAGTAAAGTTCCCGAAACGAAGAAGGAATTATTAGAGATGATGTCCAGCAAGAAGGCTGTTTTCTTTCACAAACTCGTGTGCGATACGTGTCATAAATTTCCGGATAGAGATCGCTGGCTGAAGACTACTCCTCCCGAAGATTCTATGACTATCTTTTCTACCGTTAAGCACGCGCCACCGTGGGAACCGTTTTACATAGGAACCAACAACGAGCCGCCTTTTCACGAGAATTTCACGTGGGAAGGGAAGATGAACAAGTTTCCTCAGGTAAGTTATTTAAGAGGTCCTCCTCCTTTATCCCTCTTTGAATCCTTACTTTGGACTCGTAGGTTCTGGAGATGTGTTTCATGGACTACGACTTCTGCATCTTAGATAATGCCTTTTTGGTCCACTCTCCGGGGATAAAGCGCATAGACCGTGCGTCGGAACGTCGCAGAGCTCCNTATTATTTTTAATTAAAATTTTTTTAACATCACATCAGCAATAATATGGATTATAAACTTACCGAGTCGCGCTATTTTTTTGTGTATTTATATACATTATTATATATTATCGTAAAGATAAGTTAATAAAATAATATATATTAAATTTCTGATAGAATCTGTAATGAAAAATTATATAAGTGTAAATAGCACGCAAGTATATAGAAGATTGAGTAATTCAGCTCTTGATAGAGAGGAAGAGTAGGAGCTTGATCATTGATTTTTTTTCTCCAGAAGATTACATACAATGCACTATTAAATGTAGAGAAACAGAACAAAAGTTATTATTCCAGGAAAAAATTATCTAAGTTTTTGATTGTTTTGTAAATTTAGAGGTTTAATGATCTTAGTTACAAACTAAGTCATTCCGCATTTTTTATTGTTTAAAGTTCTTAAAGATTCAAAAGATTAAAGCTTTTCCGTATTGAACATTGTATGCGGGTAGTTTATAAATAGAATTAAGTTTTAATCCCTCTATTTATTTTCTTAATTTGAATCAATCCCACCGAACGTGTTTCCAATACATAACAATATTTTTGCTGTAACGATGGCCATATTCATCATCTCCCTTGCTAAATTATCTTCTTAATCTTTTACATTATTACACGAAATTAATAATTAATTGAAATGTTTCATTTGACAAATAATTTTTAATATAAATTACGTATATTCTCTGGTTTCGGTAAGACTCGTGATATTACATAAACGATAATTTATTCTCTAGAAAATTGAGCATTATTTACGACAATTTATCCCCCGTTAAACGGCTAAATAATTCTTTATTTTATAATTTTATCTTCTCTTATAAAATAAAACATTATTTATTCTTATAAAATCTTATTATTATTAATATTCTGGAGACTTTTAAGTATACAAATGCTTAAAGATGATGAAGGATTAAGATGCTTTTATCAAAAATGGGCTTTTAAAAAAAGATCAATGAAATCAAATCTATGAGAAGATGATGAGAGAAGATAGAAATCAATCATCGTTATTAATGAATCAATTAAAATTAATCTAAATATCACCAATATTCGTGCTTGTTACTAATTAAAAGCTTCTGAAAATTATTATTATTGATGCGTATGAATGGGTTGTGAGGAAACTTGAATAAGAGATTAAATTGTAATGAATTTTAATCTTTTGATATTTTTATTGGGTTTTCATCATTTAATAAAGTACAATATTTTATCTTAAGTTGCATCGATATTTAATTTTATGCATTTAATTTCAATTTTATTACTTGATTTTTGGGATAAACATTTGAGGCTACGTCATACCAATTTGCAGTTTATTTATGGTAGTCAATTAAAACTATTAGAATATTTATTCTAATAGTTTTAATTGACTACCATAAATAAATTTTAATTAATCACTTACTTATATCAGAATAATATAGAAATATTCGAATTTTCAGGAAAGAAACTTAGATAATGTGCTGACTTAAGATATATGAATTGCTTTCGTTACAATTTAATGAATACAAAAGCTACTGCTGTAATAGACATTTTTATGATAATAATAGCCTAAAGATCGGTTGTTATCAATGAAGCCAATAGAGCCATTAATTATTATTTTTTAGCTGTTACTTTAAGGTTATCTTTCGTTTATATTCTTTTACACGATATGAATCATTTGTAAAAATCTTCATCATTTATATATCAAGCAATATCTCATCTTAAGAATTGGATAAACCTGACCATACATTTCAATGAAATTCTTTCATTTTTATTATTTTATTATAAATATAGTAAGTATAAACATACGTAATCACAATCAAAAGTTAGTTTTACTAATTTTATTAATAATTTATATTCTATTTTCGGAAAAAAGATTATTTAAGCGTATATAATAACGCAAATCTGCATGTAAACGTGTATTATATCTATAATAAAACTACGGTAAACCTATAAAATTACGGTAAAAATCATACTTTTACTGATTTTATCAATAATTTATAGCCTAATTTATGGAGAAAAAACGTTTATAAACATTTACTTTTTCTTGTTAAATAAAAAGATACAAGTTTTAAACCTAAATTTATAAGCTTGTATATGCATTAAATCTATAATAAAAATTGATAAAACTATAAAATCAAGTCGAAAATTGTATTTTTATTGATTTTATTACTAATTTACATCCTAGTTTTTCGTAAAATGTAAAAAAAAAATGAAGAGAGTTGAAGCAAATTCATCTTCTCATAATATATTGAAGCTTTATGAATGCAATTTAAACAAATTTTTTCAGCAAGTTTAGTCCATCCTTTGCCTTCTGATATTTATTACTGTATTAATAATTAATTTCTGAGTAAGTTCTTGAAAAAAANATTAATTTTACTTTAAATATAATAATGTTTTTCTTAAGAATTTGCAATAAGTTTATTAGAATTTATAAATTAAATACAATTATTTGATATTTATAGATACCATTAACGCGTATTTGAAGTATGTGACAATGGTGTGTTGATAGGTTTCCAACAGCAACAAAATTATTTACGTCAACATGTAAACAATTTTTACTAATCAATGACTTACAATTGGACATTAACTAAATGTTATATATGTAAATTTATTGATAAAACAATCCATTTATCAATAATTGAAAGCTATAAAGAATTGTCATAATTTACGAAAATTTTATATATTTTAATTAAAGTATAGTGTATATTTTAAGAAATATGACGTAACGATTTACTTTATACATTATAAAATACTTTATACTCGTGTCGATGTGAATGGAGACGAGTTAAAGATGTTTATATTTTATGTATGCGATATGTATAGTGTAAAAGAAAGTGAAGTGTACTTTAGAAATTCGAAATATTGACTGGTGCCTAGAAGAAAAGTAGTCCTTTATGTTGAGTCTGAGAGAACCTTCTACCATCGATTGAAATTTTAAAGTTTCGTGACTGAAATGCATCGCGACATTTGTCACGTTGCATTTAAAATTCTTCTATTTACTATAACTTTAGTGCACGTGTTGTCAAAATCAAATATATATATATATTTTTAAAGGCCGAATTAATTCAATTCTAATTTACTTTATACACATTTTTCTTTTTCAAATTTACCATAAACGTATTCGAGTTTAAAATATGTATTTTCGTAGGGAAGGATTTTTATCTCGAAACAAACTTTGGTTGAACGTGGTGCGAATGGATAATTACAATGATAAATTAGCATTATGTTGTTTCTAGAAAATGGTGACTTATAAAATGGGTAATTGAAGAAAATGAGTTGGAAAATATTGCTCGAATGAATTGATACGAATAAAGAGTGGAAGAAGACATCAGAGATAAATATTAATGTCAAATGCATTAGAATATGTTGTACATCTTAAAATGTGCGTGTGTGTTATAGATGATGATGGATAGAGAAGAGTAGAAAAGAGTAAATATTACATTAAACATCTCATTTACATTCTTAATATTGTAATATTACTGGAAAACATGATGTTGCTTGATATATAACAGATGCTGATGTTGTATACTTTTAATATTATATTATTACTGTAAAGCATTGCATTCTTGGATGCGTCTTAGACGTTGATACTATATATCTGGAAATGTTTGTTATAGATGATGCTGATGGATAGAAAATCATGGAAAACAATTACATATTATCTAAATTATTCAAAGTTATATTATTGCTGAAAATATTTTCTTTACTGTCGAAGAAAATTCATTAATTTTTTAGATGTATATTAAAGTAAAGGTACATTTTTTTACTTATTAAATAAAATAACGGGTTTTGTACATTAAAAAACCAGAAAAATAAAATTTTAATTTATAAAATAGATTTATTATTTATTTTTTTAATTCTAGAAAGTTGTAGGTTAGAAGTTAGATATAAAATATATACAGTATAAACAGTAAAAAAAGGAAAAGGAGAAAAAGAATAACTTTAATTTTGAAGAAATATAACGAAAAATGTTTTTATATAATGAAAAAAGGAAACACAGAATTATATAAATGATATCTAAAATCATTTCTTTCTTTCGGTCGATTTCTTTTACCAATTCTTCTTCACTCCTTCGGGAAGTGAAGAAGGGAAGGAAGAAAAAGGATGACGAAAAAAAACTAACACATGACGCTGATAGAATCTGTCCTTGATATAACTTTTGGAATTTTTGTCAGGAACTTCAATGGAAGTCGTTCTCAGACAGTCGAATTGGGACTTTTGTGAAGAATTGTATTATCTCTCGAAGCAAAGAGAAAACCATCCAGAAACAAAAAGTGTAAAAAAAGACAAAAGATGAAACTATTTTCCCATGATTGAAATGTAATTTTACAGTCTTGCGAATTATCGTTTATATAAAACTTTCCATTATCTTATATAATTTTTCTATAAAGTAAAAAGCATATTTAAGATGTGTTTATTCGTTTGATCGGTTATAATATAAGAAATAACATATTAAACTCTGTAAGGAAGGATTAAAAAGCTCACTGGTATTAGAAGCTCTTCTAAGAAATGAATGTATAAAGTATAACTTATTATAAAATTTTATTGCGAGTTAAAAGACCAATAAAACTGAATAAAATTTGATTTAATTTATTCTTATTTTTGAAGTTTTCGCTTTGCATTTTTAGTAATTTGATTCTTTTTCAAGTCTTTATCCAACCGGAAACTAGAGATGATGATCTCCTACTCTCAGGAAGTAAGTAAGCAAGTTTTATGTCTTGAGCTACAGCTCATACAATTGAGGGTAGAACATAAAACAATTCAATTAAAATCATAGAAAATACAATAAAAAAACATTAAACAAATATTATTTGACGTTATTTATGTAATATTTAAACAATATTACAGTCGAAAGTTTATTATTCAAGAGAGAAATTTGAATAGAAAGAAGTTATGATGTTACTAGGTAACAGAAATCTCACGATCTAGCAATTGTTCTTGGATTATTTATAGTTAAATAGTAAAAGCGATTATAAGCAAATAAGAAATAAAATAAAATAAAAATAAGAACTA